CAACGGTCACTACTGTCCTGAGCTTCCTGCTATTTGTCTCTCCTAAATGCTCATGTGGTATCCTGCAGCTCCCCTTCACCTGTACCCTCACATAGTGCGAATGAAGATTCATCACACTGTCTCTCCTTGGCTCTGCTCGTAGCCCAAGTCACAGTCACCTCTGACTTAGAAAGTTGGGGGGCTCTTCAGTCAGAGCATGCTTTTTTTTAAGAGAGATATGAAACTACATCCCCGACTACATCCTCTGGCAGAACTAAAATATACCATGGTATCATTTCAAAGAAAAGTATGAACTAATTTCTCCTGGTGTCCTGGCTAGTGTCTGTGGCGCAAAGTGACGTGTAAAATAGATGTCCTGGCAATTTATTTGCTTGTGGGGTCTTGCTATGTACAATTGGGTGCTGCGATTTCTATATTACCAACAGTGAGTGTACACTTTGGACATACACCATTGGTTGAAAAAAAATGCCTCAACTAGCGGTTGTGAAAGGCGTTATACAAATGCAAGAATGCCTCCTCCTTTTCTCTTATTCATTCTCCCTGTCCAAAATTGTTGAATTTTGCAACTCCTCGTCTCCTTCCGTCTTTTCTTCCTCTTAAATTGCTTGAACTTTCCAAATTAAAGCACATCTGTGATCTGAAGGATGCTGTTTCTTTCACCGTTTTAAATCGTGCTCCTGTAGCAGCAGTTTTTGCCTTTCGTTTTGAACAAGGAATAGAGTTTCCTGTCGTGAAAAGCCTTGTTGAGTGGGGAAAGCTCCTCCAACCAAACAAAAAATAAAACTATTCTCCTTCAATTCTTTCCACTTCCTACAGACAAAGAGGGTGGCCATGGGTACCCGCATGGGCCCAAGCTATGCCTACCTCTTTGTAGGATACGTGGAACAATCCCTCTTCCAAAGCTACACTGGCCCTATCCCGTACCTCTTCCTCCGTTACATCGATGACTGTATTGGCGCCGCCTCATGCTCCCACGAGGAGCTCGAACAGTTCATCCACTTCACTAACACCTTCCACCACAACCTTAAGTTCACTTGGACCATCTCCGATACCTCTCTCTCCTTCCTGAACCTCTCTGTTTCCATCTCTGGCAACCACCTGGAAACCAATATCAATTTCAAGCCTACCGACTCACACAGCTGCCTAGAATACACCTCCTTTCACCCACCTTCCTGCAAAAATGCCATCCCTTATTCCCAACTCCTTCGCATCCGCTGCATCTGCTTCCGAGATGAGGCAGTCCTCTCCCTGACATCCCATATGTCCTTGTTTTTCAAGGACCGCAACTTTCCCTCCACAGTGGTCGAAAACGCCCTCCACCGTGTCTCTCGCATTTCCCGCAACTCATTCCTCACACCCCATCCCCGCAATAACAACCAAAATGGAATCCCCCTCATCTTCACGTACCACCCCACCAACCTCCAGATCCAATGCATCATCCTCCGGCACTTCCGCCATCTGCAATCCCACCCCTTGACCAAATACAATTTTCCCTCCCCAGCCTTATCTACTTTCCGGAGGGACCACTCTTGCCGTGACTCCCTTGTCCGCTCCACACTCCCAACCAGCCCCACCACCCCCGGCACTTTTCCCTGCAACTGCAGGAAGTGCTACACCTGCCCCTACACCTCCCCCCTCACCCCCATCCCAGGCCCCAAGAAGACCTTCCACATCAAACATATGTACAACCGCACATCTGCGAATGTGGTATACTGTATCCGCTGTTCTCGATGTGGCCTCCTCTACATCGGGGAAACCAAGCGGAGGCTTGGGGACCACTTTGTGGAACACCTATGTTTGGGTTGCGACAAATGACTGCACCCCCCAGTTGCGAACCATTTCATTTCACCCTCCCACTCCCTGGACAACATGTCCATCCTGGGCCTCCTCCAGTGCCACAACGATGCCACCTGAAGGTTGCAGGAACAGCGCCTCATATTTTGCTTGGGAACCCAGCAGCCCAATGGTATCAATGTGGACTTCACAAGCTTCAAAATCTCCCCTCCCCCTACCGCATCCCAAAACCAGCCCAGCTCATCCCCGCCTCCTTAACCTGTCCGTCCTTCCTCCCACCTATCCCCTCCTTCCACCTCAGGCCCCACCCCCACCTCCTCCCAACCAGCCTCATCCTGCCTCCTTGACCTGTCCGTCTTCCCTGGACTGACCTATCTCCTCCCTAACTCCCCACCTACACTCACCTTTACTGGCTCCATCCCCGCATCTTTGACCTGTCTGTCTCCTCTCCACCTATCTTCTCCTTTATCCATCTTCCATCCGCCTCCCCCTCTCTCCCTATTTATTTCAGAATCCCCTTCCACTACCCCATTTCTGAAGAAGCGTCTCGAGCCGAAACATCAGCTTTCCTGCTCCTCTGATGTTGCTTGGCCTGCTGTGTTCATCCAGCTCTGCACCTTGTTATCTCTATTCTCTGACATGTTCCGCCTTTACTCAAAACATTTAGGGATGGAAGTAATATTTTCCGTTTCTGCAGAGACTCTAATAATTAAAGCTGGGACGTAGCTTTCTCGAGTGGTTTTGCAGGCTGCAGAGAGAAACCGGGAAGATAGTGCTGATGTTTCCAGGTTTATTTGGCCATGTCCACAGCTGATGTCTACAACACGTTGTCCCATTTTGCAGAGCGTCTCGTTTCATTCAGCCACTCGTGGTCAGTGTGCACGCTGCTTTTTTGGAGTCACTGAGAGAAAATGCAGAAATTCGGGTGAAATCTTATCTGGTTAGCGTTTTTTGTTACGCAGTGAAGGAAACTAAATCATCTGGCATCATTTTGGAATTTGTTCTATGGTCAATCCTCAAAGGTCAATGACTGTGAAAAGAGACAAACGTGGGAACAGGTTATTTTGTAATTTACATGAGGTTTCCTTTGATTGAAAGGCGCTGTCTCTCTCTGCTTATGTGTCACTTTTTTTCTGTGGTGCTGTTGTTTCATGGAGCTCAGAAATGAGCATTGAAATTGATTGTCAGGGACATGTATCGAAGCTCCGCTGATACAATCCACACAACTTCATTCCACAATCAGACACTGAAAGGCACTTCAGGCTTCAGCTGGACTTTGTGTCAAATCCCACCTCTCACTGCCAGCAACTGCAGAAATTTAATGTGCGAAGGAGTTAAAGAAGATCGCTATTCTGCAAACAAGATACAGAATGCACAGACTACGGGAGAGCCCAATGAGCTGCTTTATAAAACTCAGAAATAGCAACTGATTGAGAGGTGATAGCGTGAGTGCAGTTTCATAGAGCAGTAGTACCTACATAAAGTGGTGGGCAGTGGAGAATGGTGTCAAACAGCTCACAGAGAGAAACCTTCATGAAATTAACACTAAGCCTGTTAGTTTTGTAAAATTCAGCCCGATGAAACTGACAACATATGATCTGTTAATATAAAATACAGCGTGCAGCACACCTGTCCTTTACATTCTGTAAATTAGAGACCCACATTTGCAAGGTGTTATAATTACTTGTATATATTTAAGTGTTCATAATTGTGCAACTCTTCTATTATTTTATATGTTGTTGTAATTTTGATGGCTGAATGTAGCTGCATTATCAATTATGATTACACATTTTATTTGTATCATCACAATTTGCCACCTTTTGCAATGATGATTTTTCAAAAAAAAGTTATCTGCCTTTCAGTCTTGTTCTAAGTGATCACATGGTGGGAGGCAGACAAGGGTGCTGTACCTGTGTGGACATCCATTCAGTCTGGAACATGCCTAATATCTATCCCACTGCTTTCAATGGAACATAAACTGAATGGTTTCCATGATGGGCAACAATCCTCTCTGGTACTTCCCTGCCAAGATTGTGTCATTGAGTAATATCCACATCAATATCCCAGATCTTAGGAAGGGTCACTCAACCCGAAACATTAACTCTGATTTCTCTCCACAGATGCTGCCGGACCTGCTGAGCTTTTCCAACAATTTCTGTTTTTGTTTCCACATCAATTCAAATCAACTCAACTGTACGAGGTTGCATTTAGCAGAATGCCAATGATGTAAAGAGAAAGGTAGATTTCGGTCATAGATATCTTTAATTGACCTGTCCAACCACCACAATGACACACCTCTGGAATAGGTGGGATTATGAACCCAGGCCTCCTGGCCTCAGGCTCAGAAGTAAGGATTTTACCACTGAACCACAAGAACCCTCAGCCTTTAGTTATACACTACCTTTCATGACTTCATAATGTTCCAAACCAAATCATGGAAAATTTATACATTTCAATATGCAATCACTGTTATAATGTAGGAAACACAGCCATTAATTTTAACACATTAATTTGCAGAGAGGGCGATGGCCGAGTGGCATTATCGCTTAGACCCTTAATCCAAAGGACGAGATAATATTCTGGGGACCTGGGTTTGAATCCCACCACAGCAGATGGTGGAATTTGAATTGAATAAAATATCTGGAATTAAGAATCTAATGATGCCCGTGAATCGATTGTCTGGGGAAAAAACCCATCTGGTTCACTAATATCCTTTCGGGAAGGAAACTGCCATTCTCACCTGGTCTGGCCTACATGTGACTCCAGACCCAAAGTAATGTGGTTGACTCTCAACTGCCCTCTGGGCAATAAATGCTGCCTTGCCAGCAATGCCCTCATCCCATGAATGAAATAAAGAAAAAAAAACAGCAATATGGTAATGATCTGAAATCTGTATATTTTTAAACATTGGCCAGAACACTAAAATACTTCTGTGCTCTTGTTTTAAGTAACACCATGGGATATTTTACCTGACCCATGGAAAGGGCAGGCAGGTCCTTGATTTATATCTCATTGGACAGACAGATATGGAAAGATGTTTTGCAGAAGTGTTTGGAATGTGAGGTTTGAAGCTCAACCCCGTATTGACCAAGAGACTAAAACTACTTTGGTCAATCCAAGAGACTGTCAAAGAAGGTTTTGCAGTCTGATATGCTTTGTGGCTTTGATAACCCTTCTAACTTATACCATGGTGGATCAGGTTAATATTGAGTCAAGTATCTGGAAGTTTATTGGCAATTAATATGACATGTCAGACTTACATGTACAGTCTGTTAAATGCTCAGATGACTATCATATTACATATACAGTTGATTGACAGGCTAACAGATTGACTGCTTAACTGCAAGCACGAATAACAGAGTAGGATGGTGACTTCTTATACTGAAGGGTCATGAATCAAAACATCATAACCTGTCTTGAAGGTTTGGTGCCTGTCTGAGTTCTGTGCAATGATACAAAAAAAGGATGGCAAGCTTACAGACCTTTATGGTGTGGTCTGAAAGCAATGCCTTTAGTCTTTCCATTGTAGAAAACCCTAGTTCATAAAAAACGCGACATTTAAAGCTGTACAATAGTTGCGAGCTGGAAGAAAGGAATGGGAAGGTTCAGCTCGGTATTATCAATAACCACATGAAAGATGACACGTGTGTCTGTGTGTCATTGACTTTGAGGGATCATTTGCAGGTACTGAAGGAAACATTTGGAGAGTTCGAGATGAAATCAGGCAGGTGCATTTTTACTGAAGAACATATTTGTGACTGACTATGTCATGAAGATATATTGGAGGGACCAATGTTCTGAAGAAGGGTCTAGACCCGAAACATCAGCTTTCCTGATCCTCTGATGCTGCTTGTTCATCCAGCTCTACACCTTGTTAAAGCAAAAATCATTGCGCTTAATAAGTTATTTTTTAACAGTTCTCCAAAATGTCTGTTCAACACTAATGTTACATTAAACAGTTATATTGAATTGTTAACATATCATCAAGTAGCAATACTGAGCAACAACAAAGTCTCGTTTATCATTTATTTGACATTGCTAACTTTCAATACCACATGGAGATCAGATTGTGAAAGTTGCCACTTTGGTTGGGTGAGTCACCCATTGATGAAACTTTGCTGATTGACTAAAATATGATTTCCTGAATTGTGTCCATCAGTTTCTTTTTCTCTAAAGTTTTACAAATTACTACTTGCAAAATATCAATTCCATTGCAAAGGGCAAAAAGGATTGAATAGAAGCTCAATAAGAATAACCTGAATTCATATTGCGCTTCTGAGGTGGCAAAACACCTAACTGGCAGGTGTTGATATATTGATGGTTGTACTGGGTTCATAATCCAGATGCTCAGGCTAATGTTCCAGGAATCCAAGTTCAAATCTCACCACAACAACTTCTGGAATTTAAATTCAAATAATGACATCAGCAACATAACATTAGTCTCAATAATAATTTCACATTGTAAAATGTTATTAATTGTAATAAAAATCCATCCAGTTCACCAATGCCCTTTAGGGAAGGAAATCTGTCATCTTTACCTGGTCTGGCCTACATGTGAATCCAGATCCACAGCAATGTGGTGAGCTCTTAATTGCCCTCCAAGCAAGCAAGCTACATTATTAACAAATATTGTAAATAGCTGATGTCGAATTACCAATTCCTATGATAACCCATTAGTTACTGCCTGCCATTCAGAGAAAGAACCAAATATTCTTTCTCTTTGTTTCCTGACTGCTAGCCAATTTTCTATCCATCTCAATACACTATCCGCAATCCTATGTGCTTTAATTTTATATATTAATCTCCGATATGGGACTTTTTCTTCTGAAAGTCCAAGTAAACCAAATCCACTGCCTCCCCTGATCAATTCTACTGGTTATATTCCTGAAAAATTCCAGGAGATCTAGTCAAGCATGATTTCCCTTTTGTGAATCCATGCTGATTGTGTCTGATTCTACACTATTTTCTATGCACTCTGCTATAAAATCATTGATAATGGACTCTAACATCTTCCCTAATACCAATGTCAGACTCACTGGTTTATCATTCCCTTTATAACTCTACCTCCCTTTTTAAATTGTCGGGTTACATTTGCTTCCCTCCAATCTAAGGAACTGTTCCAGAGTCTAAAGAACCTTGGAATATGACCACCAATGCATCCAGTACTTCTAAGGCCACTTCATTAAGTGCTTTGGATGTAGAATACCAGACCCTAAGGATTTATCAGCTTTCAATCCCATCAATTTTTTCAACAGCGTTTTATTGTTCGCCATTGTACATTCCCCCACTTCTGACTGTAAGGGGTCTGCATTACTTTTCACTATCCTTTTATCTTTACATACCGATAGAAACTTGTAGAGTCAGTGTTTATGTTCCCTGCAATCTTATAGTCTATTTTTCTCTTCTTAATCAATCCATTGGTCCTCCTTTGCCAACTTCTAAACTAGTTCCAATCCTCAGGTCTATTGATTTTTCTTTTGAATTTGTCAGTCTCTTTTTTGCATCTAATGCAATTTATAATCTTCCCTTGTAAGCCATGGTTTGACCACTGTTCTCTTTGCACTCTTGCATCAGACAGGAATGAACAATTTTTGGAACTTACCCATTCGCTCTGTCTACTGTCATTTCTTTCAGTAACATTTCCCAATCCATCATAGCCAACTCATGCCTCTTACCACACCCTGGAGTGTTAATGTAAGAATGTTGATACTGTAGAGTTAATGTCAGGAAATCTAAACATTGAAAGCATTTGCTTGCTTTTGGCTTAGAATAATCAAGGATTGATTTTAGTTTAGTTTAAAAAAGCATAGAGATTGAAAACTTCTGGATTATTTTTGGAGAACACATGACTGGAATCAGAAGTAAATGTGGTTTCTCCCCTGGAAGGGACAGTTCAGGGAAAGCTCAATTACCTTTGTGTAATGACTTGTGAAACTTTCAGACTCGGAGTGGATAGTTAGAAATCTGCAGAAAAAAAATGGAGAAAGTCAAAGCTTTCAGTTTTATGAATATTCATGTGAGAAGACTTCACAGTACACAGGACAGGGCTGGAGTGAAGTAACAAAGTCAAACCTAAAGATTTGATGTGGAACAGTAATTTCTTTGGATTTGAATCACTAACTTGGAGAAATTTCAAACTGTATTTTATATTTAGATAGCTTGGTTTGCTTTTCTTACCTTTTTGATTAATAAATCTATGTTTTATTCTTAAAGAAAATCTGCAGCCTGGTGTGCCTATTTCAATCAATGACCACCATCTTAAGTATGAAAAAAGACTACCAAGTCATAACATCGGCTGAGAACGTAAAAGCAGGGCAGTGGGACTAATTGAACAACTCTTTCAAAGAGCTGACACAGCGGTAAAGAGCCTAATGGTCTACTTCCGTGCAGTAAGACTCTGTAACACTGTTATAATTCTTGGATATGTGGTTCTGAGACATACCAAGCCAGGTTCAATCCCTTCAGATGGGGAAGCATCTGGTTTTGCTGATCTGAACTAAGTCAGGCTTAAAAATAAATCAGTTAAAATGTTTGGCCAGGCATGGGTCATTGATGGAGTGTGAGTATGTGTGAGGGCAGAAATGGGCTCAGCTGTTATATTCTTTATTTGCAAGTTTCCTAATGAGACACACACTGACCAAACACACACACGAAGAGGGAGGGTGAATGTTGGTACCTGTAGAGGTTGAGGTTGGCACCTTATCCGTGGAATTTGTGTCCATGAGAGCCATGGCACCTCTGGGAGTGACGTACAATGCAGCCCAAGGTCTCAAAGATCATGAAATTGTATTGCAATTCTTTACCTTATGTAGACCCAATCACAGGCAGTAGTATTGAAATTTAGGAATAAAATGTTGAGGGAAAAGCTGAGTGGTAAATTTATTCAATCAATCTGATAAAACAACAGGGGGAGATCTTCAAGTAATTCGTTTATTTAGTGAAAAGAAAGCAATTTTATATTTCTCCCACAAGCGGTAATCGTTAGATCACCACGTTAACCCTGAAATTTCTGATTGAAACCCAACACACTCAGGAAAAAGAGATAACAAGGTATAGAGCTGGATGAACACAGCAGGCCAAGCAGCATCAGAGGAGCAGGAAGGCTGACATTTCGGGCCTAGACCCTTCTTCAGAAATTCT